TTCTTCTTCTTTTTTTTTTTTTTTTTTTGGTTGACAGGGCAGGCAACTCTCATTTAGAGAGAAATAGAGAAACTCAGTAAGCCCTTGTCTGTCTCAGAATTCCTTCCAATTTTCTCTGAAGGGATGAGGACTGTTCACATTGTTAAGTCGTTCGTAAAACTTTACCTACAGCAATCTGTGTCTTCAATGACTATTCAATGACTATTCAACGACTATTCAACGACTATTCAATGACTATTCAATGACTATTCATCTCCCCATGGGTTGACTCCTGTGCCAATATATAGATGTATAATGTACATACAAATATAGCAAATTCAAGAGCACAAAGGCGAGTAAAGTTGAACGAATAGCAAATCAACTTCACCTCTGCCAATAGGAGAACAGCATCGCTTCCTCCAGGTCTCGTACAGCAGTAATTTGCACTCTTTGAAACCATGTCCGCGAAGTACACGCCTTTTCCAAACATGTACCCAGTTACAGGGGCCTCTGGAGGCGCTATTCTCAGACCTGGACGCCACCAGCCATACCGCAACCCCAGTCCCACCCCACAGTCCCACCCCACCCCAACCCCCACGTTCAAACTCAGAAACATGAGCAAAGCCTTAACCAAGCGTTTGTCTCCCCAATCGAGAAAGCTGGCCCCTCTTGTGAGGGAGGTGTACTGCATGCATATGGTGGTTGACCACATTCGTATACAGACATGACGTACCAAGACATCGGTCACGTCCATATACAGATCATCCACCTTATCCATAAATGCAGTCAACATACGAGTTCATGTTCATGTGTAAATGCACACCAAATACCTACACCGACACATGGATTGTTTTTTTTTTTTTCTTTTTTTTTTTTTTTTCTTTTCAAACAGGTCCTTATGGTCCTGGCTCCATATCCATTCTGGGGAGCGTCTGTCCGGTTCCTTTCCCCCGGCAAGTCAATATTTGAGATACATGGTGAACACTCTCACGCTTCCTTCCGTCTGGCCGAAGGAACCCTGACCAGCATTGATTACTCCCTATCCGGAGGATTGACTGTCAGCTTGCCCTACCACTTTTCCTCTCAGAATCTATTGTGATTCTGTCGGCTGATTCATATAATGCAAGAGAAGTGGAGAGTTGTCTATCCTGTTTGAGATGAAGATCTCATTTTGCCCAACACTGGGTCACAATCCTTGTTGGAGTTGTGCTGTGCCACTTCTTTTTTTTCTTTTTTTTTTTCTAAAGCAAGAAAAGAGGAGAGTTGTCTATACTGTTGAGATGAGAATCTCAGTTCGCCCATCTCTGGGTCACCGCCCTTGTTGGAGTTGTGCTGTGCCATTTCTTCCAAATCAGTCACCTTTTTTCTTTTTTCAGTGCTTTCGGTCGTCCTTTTGTTGAGCACTATACCGCTCCTTCAGTCAGGTCACCCGGTAGGTACCCTTGTAGTCTTCATGATTGTGTCTGGTGCCATTTCTTCCATCTCAGCCTGTTGTCACTTATCGTTGCCACCTTGCCCTTTAGCAACCAGTTCCTTATGAACGTGCGTTTCTTGGTTGCTTGTCCTTCTGGCCTGTGCCTCATAGAGTTCAGTATGCTCCGCCATCTGCTCCTGATTTCTGTCTCTGCCATGCTCAGCATTAGTGACCACATTTCTTCCCTTGCCACCGCTGTTCCCTCGATTGTCTGGGTGCACCTGCATTTCCATATCACCCATAGCGCCCGCTTCCTGACCAGGGTGAACCATACTTCCCTGCTGCTTGTGATGTTGCTGGGGATGTTAGTTAGGAGTAGGATAGTGATGGGGGGGACGTTGGGGGGTGGCGAGGCGAACAGGAACGACCATAGTTCACGGACCTTCTCCCATAGCCAGGTTGCTTCTGGGCAGAAGAGGAGGCAGTGGGGGATGTCTTCAGGTAAGTCGTTGTTGCACATTACGCAGCGTTCTGAGCTGTCCGGATCAGAATGCTTCCTTCTCACGTGTAACCACTGGTTGACGGGAAGGGCTGCATGTGCTATTAGCCATTGCAAGCTACGGGTTCTGATAGGTCTGATGGGTAGGTATTTGGGCCAGGGGATGGTGACGGGGATCGTGTCGTCTAAGTTCAGTATGTTTCTCCATTTCTCTGTCAGCCTTGGATTTGGGTCTATGGTTTGTAGTCCGAGGTTATATCCGAACTTCACGTCATATTCTGTTATCGTCCTCGATTTCCCTGTGGCACCCAGTTCCCATGTCCATTCCCTTGGGTCGAACTCCAGCTCCTCAATGCTGAGTTCCGGCTGAAAGATGATCCAGGGTTCCCTATTAGAGACTCTAACCTTCCTGAGAAGGAAGGTTTCTATTCGTTCGTTCTGAGGTGTTCTGTTCAGGACCTCTAGTTCGTAAATGCTGTGTTTGATGATGGGATAGGAGAAGAACTTGGCCTGGTAGTTAGTCGGGTCCGGTTTGGACACAAAGCGGTAGGCTCTTGTTGGTGGGGTCTGTGTGATGAGCAGTCCCCAATCTCCTGGTTTCCACGTGTGTAATTCTTTGAGGAGGGTCATCCATCGGGGGGGAATGCTTCGAAGGATATCTGATAGATTGGTGGTCAGTAGGTGGCATCCTTTTAAGGATGTGCGCCGACACATGGATTGTAATTTCACACTTGGTTAATTGTCCAATGAACCAACTCGCATCCAACGCCAATTGGCAACTTGCAGCACACCAAAAGATGCACACCACAATTATACATAAGCATCGAGATAGCCGATCAGTTCACAGTCACTTCACACCATACTTGTTGCGCACCTATGCGGTGCGTCATGCGCTCGCAGTGTGCGCGCATGGGCAGTGCACTGGGTATGCGCTAATGGGCCCCATGTGTGCAAAGTTGCAAACCTTATGTGCCCTTTTTTTTTTTTTTGGAGGAGGGGGGGGGGGGCAAGGTGCGTGTGCGTGTGCATGTGTGTGTTTTAAATTTAAATTTCCACCGCAACAGCCCCTATTCCACCCAGATGAGTAGATTCGAGTTGAGACAGCCCAATAAATTAAACAATTCCACCTCTTCAGCAAGCAACAGTGCTGCAACACGAATTGTAATAGAACCATTCAGAACTGTGCTGCTGGGGATTCTTTGGGGCAATGAGCCTCCTCTTTTACTATGCCTCGCACGTAAAAGGCTGTCCACATTGATTGTGGTTGAGCGGCAGCTGCCCACATCCCCGTGTGCCTTAACGGCCCACTTGCACGTTATAACCGGGTCCAGTGTCCCTTGAATACATGAAAGGCTCAGTAGAGGAGGCAGAGTAAAGGGGAAGGTATGCTCCCGTGCATTTCACTTCAGATCTTCATACTCCTGTTCATTTCACTTCAAATCTTCAGCTTTTTTTATTTTTTTATTTTTTATTATTTTTATTTTTTATTTTTAAAGGCTCCGTTCTATTGGTGGGGAGCAGCACCTGCTGGAAACCGGGTCCAGTGTCCCTTGAATACATGAAAGGCTCAGAATGCTCAGAACTTCAGCTTATACTTAGTCAAAGTGTGTGTCTGTGCGTACGAGTACCGCTGACAGAAGACAGGACAAAAAACAAAACCAAGTCGTTTCCAGTTTGCTATGTGATGAGACCGATGGACCACTAGGATCAGATATTAAACTGATCAGAACAGATACTACACTTGATCTATTTTTAGCCAAAAGGCCAGTCCAACAGGCCCGTTGTTTTTCCTTTTTGAGATACCATCATTGAACCGAGCGGCCCTTTGGCGAACCGACCCCTTCTCACCTGGGATAGTCACAGTAGCCTAAAGTTAAATGCATCTGACCACATTACGGCCGGACGTCCTAGTGTGAGTAAGCCTCATTCGGACGGATTCGATGCCCTTTGGTGTCCCTCCATCGTGCAAAACATCCAGAAAAGGAAGAAATTACGGCGGTGCATCTTTCCATGTTCTAGGGGAAGATGCATTCTCATTTTGCACATTTGGAGGGTGGTGGAGAGCGGCCCCTAATCTGCAGGTAATGCACAACAGGCCTCTCTCTACTTGTGGCATACTGCGTAGCCACACGGGCCCTGCAGGGCCCGTCCCGGACATTCAGCCTAAAAGCCTAAAACTTAGGGCTTACAGGCCCCGGTCGTTTCAGCCTGAAAGCTGAAAAACGAGGGCCTGCAGGCCCTACTCCGTTTCAGCCTATTTCTGGGTCTTTCAGACCCAGAGTCTTTCCAGCCTGAAACGGAGGGCCTTTTTCAGGCCCTCATTGTTTCGACCACCCCTAAGACTCAGGCACGAGGAACAGGCCAGAAATAGCCTGTTCCTCACGAGCTGCAGCTCCTGCCTCCCTTCGGCATTGGCAAGAGCAGCCTCCTGAACTGCTCGCACGGCTCAGGAGGCACACCCGGTAGTACATAGGAAGTTCCCATGCACTTCACGGGTAGGTAGTTTCAGTAGGCAC